CAGTGGATCGTCCCGTACGATCGTGGATCGTCCTGTACGATCGTGGATCGTCCCGTATGATTGTGGATCGTCCTGGATGATTTTACTTAAACGATTTGAAATGACCCTATTTATATATGTGTAAAAAATGTCTTCGTACATATGATCGTCCTGTACGAACTATATTCATCCGGTATGAACGGTTATTACAAGGCCGGTTCTAGAAACTGCTAAAAAGCGTTCTAAGTTGGTTAACCGTCTGGACGAAAATTTGTTCGTCTGGATGAAAATTTGTTCGTCTGGACGAAAATTTTATAGAGGACCAATCGTCATGTACGTTAATTAATTTTGTCTGGATGAAACTTTTGTAGAGACCAGATCGTTCTGGATGATAATTAATTTTGTCTGGACGAAAATTTTATAGAGGACCAATCATCATGAACGATAATTTAATTTCATCTGGACGAAAATTTTACAGAGAACTAGTCGTCCCGTACGATTATTAATTTCTTCCTGGACGAATAGGACTTAGAAAAATTTCTCAAGCCAGTTCCTATTCGTTCCATGTGCTAAATAGAAGATAATTGTCTGATCGTCCCGTACGAACGGATATCATCCCGTACGATCAGTATAAATTATATATGATCTCCTTATGTGTGTGTGTATGCTTTTATTCACTCAAATTACAATCACTCCCTTTCAATTTTGATTCAAAGAAAAGTACAAGCTTCAAATTTAAAAAGTATTTCATCCTGAAATTGATTTGAAGTCTTCGCAGTCTGGAGTTTGATTTTCCTAAAATGTTAGCACACACAAGAGCAAATACAAATCTTCTAAAATTGTTATGAGATAACTACATATTTAAATAATAATGTTTGGAATCATCAAAACTACATAAGTTACAAAAATGTAAAGCGTGCAAATAGCAACTAACTTAACACCACGATCGTACGAGATGATCCATTTCGTGTCAACTTGAATATTTTGCAGTTTTGGACCGTTTTTCTTGTCTCTCCTATATAAGGTCCAATTTTTACTACCACTCTATCTTTTTGCCATTTGATCTTCATGCCTATTGAAAGAAGAGTCAAGGAGAGAGTGTAAGAGAGCATTCAAAGGAGGATTCATACCACTGGAGCGTGAAGGCTTCGCTTGGTGTTCAAAGGTAAGAATATTTACTTGTGATTTTGGATTACTTCACTCTTTTCTTTCTTCCTTCTAGAATTCTTGTGAGAAGATTAATCACGGAGATCTGGTTCTCTGCCGACACTTGGAGAGTGTGAACAGTCGTGGGTTCTCTGCCCACACTAGGAGAGTGTTAAAGGATGTGGGTTCTCTGCCCACACTAAAAGAGTGTGAAAAGATGAAAGGTTCTCTGCCTACACTAAGAGAGTGTGAAAGGAAGAAGGGTTCTCTGCCCACACTAGGAGAGTGTGAAAGGATGAAGGGTTCTCCGCCCACACTAGGAGAGAGTGAAAGGACGGACGATTCTCTGCCAACACTGGGGTTAAGTGTAAAAGTAAGACGGTTCTCTGCCGCACCGGGTAGTGGTGGAAAGAGTTTTTGTAAAGGCTTATCCGCCTTGCTGTGGGTGCTAAAGGAGAGTCACTAGTGGTATTAGTGCAATACTCGGAGAGTGCCTCCGGGGAGTGGATGTAGGTCTGGTTTAGACCGAACCACTATAAATACTTTGTCTTTTAAATTTTTACTTCTTTTTATTTTCCGCATTTTGTTTAGTTCTAAAAATTATGGTTGAAAAACTTTTTCTAAAAATTCATTAAAGTTTATTTTCAGTTCAACATACTCAAGAGGGATAATTTTTTAAATACCAATTCACCACCCCCCCCTCTTGGATAGCATTGGGACATAAGCTTAGGTTTAACAACCTAATTCATAGTGAACGAATCTCAACAAGTTGGACTGAAATGTGCAAGCCAATTGAAAGAGATGGCCATGGGTTGCATTCTTTTTTTTTTTTTGAAAGAAATACATCAAATAGCATTAAAACCAAAAAAGAAGCTAAGTACAAGTAATAAGGGGATCACATTCTTCCTTGATTAAGCCTAGCAACAAGGAAGGAATATGATCAAAAGAAGAACTATCAAAGAAAAAGCTATTCTCCAATGCCATAGTAGCACAACAATTTGGTACTTTATTACATTGTCTAGAAGCATGGAGAAAGACAACCTTATTAAAATCATGTAAAAAACATAAATTCTTATGTGGCCACTTACCCAAATTCTCCTTATTATCCTTCGAAGAATTCTGAATGAATTTGATGATATTCATATTATCACTTCCTATGATAAGCCCTTTACACTCCAGCATCCAGGTCTTCAAAAACTCTCTAACCGTGAGGACTGCTTGTAATTCAAGATGGCCAATATCCCAATGCATTCCATTCTTTCCAAAAGCACTAATAAATCTTCCTTTGTAATCACAGAAGATTCCTCCAATGCCAGCCAAATTAGAGCTTGTCAAGGATGTATCTACATTTACCTTGATCCATTCTTTCGGTGGAGGGTACCAAGTTCTTTGGGACTCCCTAAGGAGATTATTACCCCAGCAAGATAGAAATGGACTGGATTTGGAGACAGCATAAAATAAAGCATTAGCAGCAATAACAGAACACGGCACTACATTCTTACCATGTTTAATATCATTTTGATTTCTCCAAGAAAAGTAGACCGCAGAGCAGTACAACCGAACAATCCCAGGATTCTTTACAGACATCTTCCTTAAGTTCTCCAAGCAACAATCCAGCAAATGAAAGTTAGGAATAGGAATTCCCCATTCCCTCAACTTCAGAATTATATCAATCAAATATTTTTATTTTACCATAATATGTTCATACGTTTCATCAACTTGGCAACCTCTAGGACAAAGACCATTATCCGAAATTTTACGATTCATGAGGAACATATTGGTTGGTATGGCTGATTTACCAAGTCTCCACCAAAACAATTCAATATTCTTTCTCATCTTCAATTTCTTCACCCAGCTGAAATATTCCACATCCTCCATAATGCATTTGTTGAGCCACATTTGTTCAAAAACCATAGCAGACACTGTCTTCCCCGAACCAATCTTCAACAGCTCCATCCGATCCTCCTCATTATACTCAATAGAAATTTGAGTTATTAGGGAGACTAAGTAAGAATGAAATGCTCTTTGTAACAGATCATAATTCCACATACCATTATCAATAATTAATTGCTGCACACTCAAACCTTCCAGGAAATTGCTGTCCACAAAAGTAGGCCAACGACTAATGCATCTATCAAGCACCCAAGTGTCATTTAAGATGCTGATTTTATCTCCTTTCCCCACCTTCCATCGAACCACCATCTTCAAATTCTTTCCACCATCCAGTAAGATTCTCCAAGCTTTTGAGCTGATATTCCTGTGAGCTCCGTTCATTACATTTTCCCTATATTTACTTTCCATGACATGGTGAAACAAAGAACCAGGCTTTTGAATAAAGTTCCATGTCACTTTGGATCTTAAAGATCCGATACTCTGTAAAGGAGAATGTAAGCCCAAACCTCCCATACTACAAGGCTTGCAAATATCATTCCAAGCAATGTAATGCATCCCCCTAGTGCCATCTTTATTATTCCAAATAAAACTTCTACAAAGCTTCTCCAATTCATGTAAAAGCCTCTTAGATACCAAAAGAATGGGTAATAAGAAAATTTGCCATAGAGAACAAAGAACTTTCTACAAGAATCGATTTACCTCCCAAGGATAAGGATTTCCTACTCCAAGCATTAAGTCCTTCCATGTCATTACTAAGAACTTCTTGATAATCAGCCATCTTCATTCTTTCAAGTGAGATTTTAACTCCTAAGTATCTCATTTCCTTCACTATCTTAAACCCAAGAAGTCTGCCAATCTTCCTCCTCATCCGATGGTTGACTACCTTCCCAAACAACAATTGAGATTTGCCAATATTAATCCTTTACCCATTATATTTACAAAACTTCTCCACAATTGTCTTCATACTTTTATCCAGCTCAACCGATGCATGAGAGAAGATAAGAGCGTCATCTGCATATAATAAATGCGTAATCTTTGGACCTCCACTTGAAACATGAATGCCAAGGCACTTTCCTCTTTGCTCTAACGAGTTAGTAATCAATTGGAAACACATTATGAACAAATAAGGTGAGAGTAGACATCCCTGACGGAATCCACTCTGAGAATTGATCCATTCAGAGTTCTTTCTGTTAATAATGATGGAGAATCTCACATCTACAACACATTCCAAGAGAAGATTGGAGAAAGCAATAGGAAAACCATACCATCTCAAAATATGGCGAAGAGTAGTCCACCCCATGCTATCGTAAGCTTGTTCCATATCAAGCTTAACGGCCATCATTCCCTTCTTATTTTTTGAAATCTTAAACTTGTGGAAGATCTCCTGAGCAAGCAAATAATTTTCAGCAATAGATCTGCCATGTATGAAGGCAGCTTGTTCTTCGAAAATCATTCTAGCCATTCCCTTCTTCAATCTATTAACAATCATAGTAGTCACAATTTTATAATTGGTTTGACAAAGGCTAATGGGCCTATAATTTGATGGAGACAACGGGTTCCTTATTTTAGGAATTAGGACAATCAGCGTGTCCTTCCATTCCTTATGTTAAGATAGTTGCTATTTGCGTGCTTTACATTTTTGCAACTTATGTAGTTTTGATGATTCCAAAGATTATTGTTCAAATGTGTAGTTATCTCCTAACATTTTTTAGAAGAATTGTATTTGCTCTTGTGTGTACTAACATTTCAGGAAAAACAAACTCCAGACTACGAAGACTTCAAATTAAATTTAGCATGAGATACTTTGTAAAATTTGAAGCTTGCACTTTTCTTTAAAATCAAATTGAAAGGGAGTGATTGTAATTTGAGTGAATAAAAACATTCACAAACACATAAGGAGATCATATAAAATATTTATACTGATCGTACTAGACGATATTCGTTCGTACAGGACGATCAGACAGTTATCTCCTATAAAGCATATGGAACGAATAGGAACTTGCTCGAAAATTTTTTCTAATTCCTATTCGTCCAGGACGAAATTAATTATCGTCCACGACGATTGGTTCACTGTAAAATTTTCGTCCAGACAAATTTAAATTATCGTCCGTGGTGACTGGTCCTCTGGAAAAATTTCGTCCCAACGAAATCAAAAATCATCCAGGATGATTTGAACTCTGGAAAATTTTCGTCCAGACAAAAATAAATTACCGTCCATGGTGATTGGTTCTCTGGAAAATTTTCGTCCAGACGAAGTCAAGAATCATCCAGGATGATCAGTTTTCTGTAAAAATTTCGTCCAGACGAACATATTCTCGCCCAAACGATTAACCGACTTAGAACAGTTTTCAGCAGTTTCTAGAACCGACCTTGTAATAACCGTTCGTACTGGACGAACCTAGTTCATACAGGACGATCAGCTGTATGAAGGCATTTTGTACACATATTCAAATAGGGTCGTTTCAGAT